TGTATTTCATCGCGTTTCAGTTCGTTTCCCCAGTCCGGTCATTGTATTGTCCGTCTGCGTTTTGCCTGCCTTACCTGTAATTAAACCCCATATTCCCCGATACCCTGACGTCTGCGCCTTTGTCTCCATTCTGTCCCCGCTGGGCACGACAATATTATTATAATTAAATGTATTAATGGTTTATTATTAATATTAAAATAATTAATAAGAAATCTTACTTAATTAGTACTGTTACTGTCTATCATTGTCTAAATGTATTTTTACTGTCTGAATATATGTATTCAGCTAGTGTAAACATGCACAAAGCTATCACAGCTAATGCGAGAATGAGACTGAAGCGTTACCCTTTGTTTCCGCTGAGAGACGTGCTGAGTGACTCATTTCCCTGCACATACAAGTTATCTTAGGTCGGCGTTCACGGTTTGACTTCTGAGATTCAGATCAAGTTCTAGGTAAATTTTTTTCTAACTGGTTCGTTCGACTTTTAATAAATTCGAGTTCTAATGAGTTTGAGAACTGAGGTTCCACTGTATATCTTTGTGGGGCCTTTCCATTTATTTCTATGGGCATAACCCTAATCCCATCTATAAGGATCTTAACGCCTACCCAGCCCTAACCTTAACCATAAGTAACCAAACAAAACACAAGAATTTGGGATTTTTAGTTTTTTGATTGCATTCACAGATTTTTTTTTATAAAATTGCGGTTATCCTTATGGGGCCGAATAAATTACAGTTCCAGGTTTTATCACATTGTGGGGAAATCTGGTTCCCACATCGTAATAATTACAAATACACACCCACAGGCACGCCCACCTCCCATTAACAAAACAGTGCTGGGATAGAAGGATTTATCCATCTCACTGCAGAGCCTCTCCCTCTTCAACACACAAGGATCTGAATGTAAAGGAGAATTATCCCAAAGGCGGTGTTATGGCGCTGTTATGGTTTTGCGCGATACCGTTGTCCCAGCCCCCCGGCTGCTGCCACCCTCCCACCCACCACTGACTTCCTCTAGGCTAAATTACCTGCCCATATTTTTTTCCCCCAGTTACTGTTCTATTTCATGCAATTGAAAGTATGAGTTCCCATATTGAAATTGAGTAATGTGCTGCAGTCGTGCCTAGTTATCTTTCCAGTGTAGATTATGACACTAAAATACATTATTACTGTGTGCCACATCATAGTTGTACCCTGCCATGAGATTATTCCAGCTAACACTTTAACCTCTCAGTTTTATAAATTTGCAGAATATGATGTGGTGTAGTGACTCTGGCAGCGTGAACGCGGTCTTGATGAATTACGTCACTGTTTTAAAAAGTTTTTCGGTAATTTGGGTCGTTCTGGTGTGTGGGTGCCCCAGACGATAACCTGGGCCGGGGTGATTAATGATGTGAAAGCTGGTTGCCCTGCCTCTCTCCGCTGCTCTCTGCTGCTCTCCGCTGCTCTCCGCTGCTCCCTTCAAAGGCATAGTTGTGTAAACATCACACGCATGAGGGTCGTTTTTTTTTTTTTTTAAACTGACCACGGAAATATTTGAGTGGATTGCGTAGAAGTGCGGCGGTACTGAGTAGCGGAGGAGAAACGGAGGTACACACATGTCTGTCTCACAGCACCTAAGGTGGGTGATGCATCTCTTTGCTACACTCTGGGTATACTGGGATCCTGCAAGGTAACTGCAATTCAAGGCATGCAAGGCATTTAAGTTTGATTTAAAAATCTTTGAGCTGTGACATGGTGGCACAGTGGGTAGTTCTGTAACCGAGAACCTCTAGGGATGGGGGGGTCACATCCCCCGGAGGCTGGGTGTGCGTGGAGTTCTGCACGTTCTCCTTGTGTTTGAGATGAACCCCTCCAGGTTTTTCCGGCTACAGTCTAAAATAGGTGAATTAATTGTTGTAAATTGCCCGTAGTGTGAGTATGCACCCTGTGATGGACTGGGATGCCATCCAGTCTTTGCCCTGTGTTTCCTGGGATAAGCTCCAAGCCTGCTGTGAACCTGAACTGCGAGAGCCGTATGGTTGGCTGAACAGAATTCTTCACTTGCTTTTTATTGGTTTGTCGACCTGCTTATGAATGACTGGTTTGACTGAGAGTAACAGATGCTGAAAAGTGGTGACTTTGAATGCCAGTGTGATCTTGAAAGGTAAATTTGATCTTGAACAGAACTTTACCCCTTCATGATGGTCTTCACTGAACATTTTCTCTTTGATGAATATATTCTTATGTACTGTGTTCAGTGTATTGATGTTTCTGGTAACACTGTCGCACTGGAACATTGATCACTGAGTTACAAGTGAGTCACCCTGAGTGTCAAGGTCTTGACTGAAGTATAAAGTGCTTTGCGATACGGCCAGCAGGTCTCATAAACTAACACAAAGGCTGACAGGACTTTGTGCTCTAGTGACTATGTAACCATAATATCTTTTGTGTGTCCAAGCTTCAGTAGTTGGTTTGTGACCTGGGGCAGTATTAAATATAGCAGCTAAGGTCATAATGAATTGTAGATAACATTACATGTCTCTTTTAGGAAGTGATGTTTCTGAAGATGAAGAGGGAGAGGCTCATGCAGATGCACTGCATGTGTCAGTTAAAAAGGATCTAGAATGTAGACTTTTCAACTGAGGCTGCACAAAATGGACTATCATTCCTGTTCATTATATGAACTAATGTAAAGAATTTCACAGATGATCAATACAAATCAATAGAAATCATTGAACAGAATTCAGTAGTCAATATTTGTAATCCGTTGATTTAAAAACACAAAAGAAAGGCTTTAGCAAATACTGGACAAGATACTAAAAATAGCAGCACTAAGCTATGACCATATTAATTCAGATATGTTCATCATCATCCTCTGCAGTTTGTGTATTCATTTCTGAATCATGCTCTTTGAAAACAAATCTGCGTTAAGAAATACAGAGGCTGGTACTGAAAGGTATACCAAAAGCCAGACGCACTTTGAAGGTGTTTACAGTGTCACCATGTAAAGATTGTCATATAAATCCATCATTTATTTGCTTGCTTATTTCTTTAGGTGATTTCTGATTATGAGACTATTCTGTGTCTGCGGTGGGAGTAGTTTGCAGATGACATTGAGCTGGAGGTCATGCCACCCCAGCACACCATTAATTATCTATTGCACAGATGGGATAGAGAATAAGTTAAGATTGAAAAAAATAATAATAACACTGGCTACTAGGAGATGTTCACATTTATTCTGCTGTGGGGTCTGTGTGGCGCAGTGGTAATGGCTGACCAGCTGTTCCAGTGCCGCGTCATTTCTGCTGCCTCACTGGGTTTTTCTTTGGAGCTGTGAGCAGAGCGAGTGCTAGAGGAGAGCACTCATCTGGGTTCCGGCACCCTGTAGCGTGAGATATTGATTTTAAGCCTGGGATCCTCAGGGTAATAATGCTGAATTTGCACATCAAAGTACAGTAACGTATTGAACGATGCTTAAAAAGTGGCTTAATCACCCATTTGAAAAATATTGGATTAGCTGTTATAACCTATTTTCATATTCAACAGCAATAGAGGGGCACAGACAAGCGCACGTTTGAAAAAGTTCTGCAGATTTTATCAAATTGGATATAAATCCCCTATAGATACCTATTTATGACAGGAGAGAGGTCTTACCTTGATATTCTATGGGATATTCTTCATATTGTGTTTGTAAAAGAGAGACTGTGTGTGAGAGAGACATTCTCTGAAGTAAATACCAGCATTCTGGCATGACTGTCAAAATGGATCAACACGTAAGAGAGGATTACTTGACAGACGCGTGCCAAGTCAAAGCTTCCTTTCTGGTTGCATTGAAATTGAATACCTTGGGAAACAATGCATAAAAATAACGGCCCATTCCCCAACACCAGCAATATTATTTTTATACGATCCCTTGCAGCCACTAGTAATCTCAGAGCTTGTTGTATTCTAATAGCTTTGTGCTACTTTTTCAGATCAACCCGAATTGTTCTACTAAGCAGCTAATATATCTGAGATCACTTTCTAGTGTGGGCAAGACACAATATCCAGAGGGGTAGGGCAAGCACCAGTGCAGAACAGATGATCCCCAAATGTAGGGGTATACCAAGGAGAATAACCTGAATGTCAGAAATGAGGGATCCATGCTGCATATTTTATAGGTAGCATCCTGCTGCAAACTGTGCACCATCTTACATGCTCATCCTCTTTCACAGCCACGATAACACTGGGCAGCGAGGCAACAGCTGCTCTTCATTCTGTAACATAGATAATGTAACGTAGATTATGTTTCATTACAGCACCAGCACTGTTTATAAGCAGCTAGTGGGAGTGTCGACCAAAATTTGCCAACGTTTATAATCAGCATGGTACACAACTCCTATCTATCATGGGCGTATCTGTGCTTTTTGAATGAGAGCGGAAAAATATTTTGATGACGCTCTTTAATTTAATATTGAAAAAATACGAAGTGGAGAGAAAAGAATGCAGGTGAAAAGTAATCTGAACATATCGGGTAACGCACAACTATTTGGAAATGCGGCGACAGTAATGGAAACATGGAAACTGAAACTGAGCAGTATATGTCCCCCGATTGGATTTCATTCCCTCTTAATGGAAAAATAGAATGTCAGTTATGACCATTGTCTATGTCTGCGATGCTATCATGCTATCACAGCCGTGAACATCCACAGGGTCAAAGGTGAGGCCGTAGTGTAGCTGGCAAACGATTCCTGTAGGTCCATGCGTACAGGCCTCACACGCCTTAAATGTACAGTGTGGGGAAAGGTAGTAAGATCATTTCAGAGCTGAGAAGCCAAAACGTGGACCCTGGACTGGACAAACTACCAAAATCAGCAATATGCAGCCTGCTAGACCCAATAAATCAGTCCGATGATGTATATCTGCGACTGGGTTAGACTGGCTGTGACTTAGGGTTTGGCGATTGTTTGGCGAGCAGCGTTTTATAAGCCTAGTCTGGTGATTCTCCGCTGCTGAACCGTTCCACCGTTGTTCTTGCAGGGGCCCATTTCAACAGGCATCAGCACAACCATGCTACCTCCTGCCGACACTTCCACCTTGGTCCCCAAACTCAAATGTCTGCCGACTTCCCCCTGCCCCCCCCGAGTCAGTCGCAGTCGGCCATGATGGCCCACCTGCCCCCCGCACACCAGCACGCCTCACAGCTGCACCAGCCCCTCACGCCTCTGCCGACCCAGCAGTTCCAGGACGTCCCGGCCCCCCCCTTCCTACCTCAGGCCTTACACCAGCAGTACCTCATTCAGCAGCAGCTCCTGGAGGCCCAGCACCGGCGCATCCTTCCACACTCCAGGTACGGGCAGCAGCGCTGGGCATCCAGATGGGCAAAGTGTCCTACATGTGATTTATGGCCAGATGTCTGCAGCTCGAGGTCAAGCTGTGAGTAATTTATAAGGCGCCCGTGCTTCATAAAAGCACATACAAAAAAAATTTATCTGAATATTCCAGATTTTCACTTGCATCTTAAGACATCTTTGTTACTGTCCTGTGAGGGCTTGATGCCCCGTCATAGGTTGTACCCTGCCTTGTGCCCGTATTTTCTGGGCTAGGTTCTGGATACCTGTGATCCTGCATTTGGTAATTGGGTGTAGAAAATGGATTGATGGATCCCAGTAACCGACAGGCGTTTTAAAAATTTTTTTTTATAAAAAATGATAGAGTAGCCTATTCTCATAATTTTGGGACAGTACACATTTACTTAAAGTTAAACGCATTTATTATACAACTGATATAAAATTAAAAAAGAAAGTATACGAACTGGAAATGGTGCCTGAATAGGCTCAAGTTCACCCTACTGCTGAGAGCCCCGCCTGCCGGCATGCGCCCCCCCGCGCCCCCCCGCCCCTAACAGAGCTGTACCTCTGTCTAGGAGAACACAGGAGCGAGTCCCCCTGCACCCACATCGGCTGCGCTCCAGCTATGAGTACGCCCCTTCACTGCACGTCCCTCAGCCAATCCCGCAGCAGCCGCGCTACCTAGCCGAAGGCACCGATTGGTGAGTTAGGAGCTTCTGTGCCTCCTGTCAAGTTAAGTGCGTCATTTATGAAAGCAGACCAGCCAGGTACAAATGTTGCTTTTGTAATTTGCATATATATGTTCTTTTACATTTAATGTAAATTAAATGGGAAAAAAATGTTTAGATTACTTTTTTTTACATACTGTAGGACTCCTGTATCATTCTAGGTATAGAGAGGAATCCATATATAGTCGGGGTATGAGCGCCTGAACATTTGCTGGTAGTTATTTGCTTCAGTTTCTACGGCAACATAGTACATATGACAAGAAGCCCCTGCAGGGCTGTATCTTATGTGTCAAGCACCAGGATTTCAGAGGGAGTAAGTTGACAAACCAGCAATGAGAAATCTTGTCTCCTCAGGGATCTGAGCGTGGATGCAGGCCTGCCTCACCATCAGTATCAAGTGCAGCAGCTCCCACAGCATTATCAACATTACCTAGCATCTCCCAGAATGCATCACTTCCCCAGAAATAACTCATCAGCACAAGTGGTGAGCATACCTGGATCAAAGATGACTGGGGGTGCAGGTTTATAAAATATTCATGTGCATGGATTTGATCATAATTGCAATTATTCATTGCTGTCCAGTACTCTCTTTACTCTGCAGGGCCCTGTCAAACTGATTTTATTACTGCAATTTAAGGTGTGGACATTATGTTACATGATGTGACATCATATAGAGCTAAAAAGTCTTTATTCAGAATTTCTTGAGATGCACTCAGTCTTACAGATATTTATAAAAGAAAAAAAGTTTCTCTTAGTTTTGAACAATGTTAAATACTCCAAGCAGTAGAGGGCACACTGCTATAGCACAAAATGGAATGCCTTGCCTTTATAGGGCATCCTTACATTTTCTGTAGGCACCTATTCTATTCAGGGTTATGGGGGGGTGGTAGCTATCCTGGAGACACAAGACGGAAAAACCCAGGATGGGGCACCAACCTATCTCAGGGCACACTCACACACCTATGTGTGATTTGGCAACTCCAGTTAACCTCAGCCTGGTATTTGGACTCTGGGGAGGAGACCAGAGTACCCAGAGTAAATCCAACGACGACACGGTGAGAACATGTAAACTCCACACACATGGAACCCTGGTGGAGATTCAAACCCTGGTCCTAGAGGTGTGAGGCAACAGTGCTAACCACTGCACCGCCATGCTGCCCCTTTGGGTGGGCACATATACATATTCATGCCTCACAGGCTCCTTACCGACACCAGCCTAACTACGTCTTTGGACTGTGGGAGCAAACCAGAGTGCGGAGAAACAGCCATGTGACAGGGGACATGCAGGAGAAACAGCCATGTGACAGGGGACCTGCAGGAGAAACAGTCATGTGACAGGGGACATGCAGGAGAAACAGTCATGTGACAGGGGACATGCAGGAGAAACAGTCATGTGACAGGGGACATGCAGAATCCACACACATAGACTGGAGGCGAGATTCTGGCCCCAGAGGTGTGAAGCAATAGGGCTGCCACTAAGCCAGCATGCTGCTCTTAGAATACAAGCAAATCACATATTCAAGGACACATTATATATTCTATCTTTATTCTTCAAAGAGGTGTGTGAATTCCTATTCATTCTCATCCTTTGCAGGTTGTCCATGAGATCAGAAACTACCCTTATCCCCAGTTGCATCTACTGGCCCTGCAAGGTTTAAACCCCTCTCGCCACGGGTCTGCAGTGCGGGAGAGCTATGAGGTACGTTAAACTCTGCACTGGCATGTTCCCCCGCATCGGTCATCTCTCCACAATCCGTTTTTGTTTCCTGTTGGGTTTTTTATAGCCTGTAATCTCTGATTATTATTATTTTTTTTTGTAAATCTCCCGTTATTGTGAATTGCTGCCTAAATACATTAGCATTAGTTTCATGTTCTCCAAAATCTAAAAAAAAATGCCTTGATATTCATACTTCTGTTTAGATGAATTCCTAGGGTCTTTTTACTCTGCTCCAATCTCTTTAATTTCTTTATTATTTCTGTTCAGTTGAGAAAGGTTTATCCTCAGCAACACATGTCGATAGCAAAAATAAAATTTTTGCGCATGTAGAAATCATAAAAAGTGGGTTCCATGTCAGTAACATCTAACCAAATCAGCCTTATCAGTGGTGCTATGTCTCGTGGACCCAGCATCTCTTTGCAGTTTCTGTCCTTTCATCTAAGTGTATTCGTTAAAATATGAAACAGGCTGTTTTCTGGAAGGCTGTGAAAACCCTTTGAATGTCTAATCCTTTGTGGAAATTCAGGAGCTGCTGCAGCTGGAAGACAGGCTAGGAAATGTCAATCGAGGAGCCGTACAGACCATAATCGAGCGGTTCACGTTCCCTCACAAGTACAAGAAGGTGAGGACACCATGTCGTGGAGCAACAGAGCTGACACTTTTAAAAAGTTCACGCCTACTTCTGGGAAAAAACATTAGCCTTGAGAATGTTACACCTCCTGTGACCCTGTCTTCCCAGTTTTTCATAATGGTGGTTTATTTATGTATGTCTGGAAAATGAAACAGTGCTTCAAAAAATAAATGAAATGCCAGACTGAGGCTGAGTTCTCCCGCTGTCACTGCGTGTTGCTGTTATTATTGTGCAGTATAGCATACTCCCACTTGCTGCTTTTAAACCCAGAGCAATTTGAGGTCTTGGAGCAATGTATAATTAGAATGTCAAAAATGCTTGAACATCCTTGGTTGATGAGTGGCAGTCCAGCAGCCGATGTCTCTCACAGGGAGGAAGCTGGCCACTATATAATGGCTTCCTCCTGACCAGAAAAGAGGGTTTTGTATAATGATTCATACTCTCCTTTGATTTGTGGCCCGTAATTGTCAATTACATTTAATATTACAGGTGCTGTCTAAAGCATTTGGTTTTTATGTTTTATTATACAAATGATCTTCGTCCTTGTGTGCCCTTCAGATGAAAAGACACAATGAAGCGGCTTCCTAGAATGAATAATATGTCTGTGCTAGAAATCTGCTTTGACCACATGTAGGTCTGCTTTGACCTAATGTAGTTGTATTAAGTAATAGGTTCTGGGGGCAATTTTCCCAAAAGCTGAGTTGCAATATCTTACCATGATGTTGCTGCTGCTACTGCTATTTATTACTGAATGTTATAAGTCCTTTGTTTCATTATGAAATCTCAATTAATTAAAAACTTTGGGGGAGCTTGTGTTAATGAACGGCCCTACTCATTTTTATACGTTTCACGCACGATTTATTTCTGACCAGCTAGTTGCACAAATTAATCTGTCCCTTGTGGTTAGCTCTGCAAATGCTACAGTGATTCTGACTCTTGCGCTGTAATGTGACGACCCCACAGAGAAGACCCCAGGAACTGAAAATAGCCATGGAGGAAGAGGAGTCCGACATAGATGAGAAATGTACAATCTGTCTCTCCATGCTGGAAGACGGAGAGGACGTCAGGTAATGTACCTTCAGGGTTGGGAAAACTTTTGGCGCCGTAACTGTATTCCTCATGACTGCGGAAGGGGGAGAGTTCACAGACACACTGTAGTGCTTGACTGTCGACCGCTCTGGGCAAATCGGGACGCGCAGGTGCGCCATTGGCAGGAGGGGTGAACGTGATATCGAGGTTAGCTTACCGGCTAGCGATGCCGATGTAACCATCAGACTGGCCTCACCTCTTCCAGCTATACGTGAGTCTAGAGTATGGCTGTCTCAGATGGCTCTCTGTATGGCAAACAGCTCAGTTATGCAATATAGCACAAGTACAATGATAAGTGGTCTACTGAAGATGAGAAATAGGGCCCGGAGAGCGAAACAGGTTTCACTAGTACCATGTGACACTGGAAAACGCGACTGATAAAATGTGCAAGTGGTTCCTAGATTTGATTACTGTCTTTTCCTGCTAGATTTATTGCTGTAAAAGAGTATTTAATTTTAAAATGAATTTGGTTTCCTGGGGGGGAGGCAGTGAGGGCTTTAATGAACTGTCCTCTGACAAGTGAATGATGATTATACCGTGTCCCGCCAATGTTAACGTGGCCCCTGAGATGATATCTCCTGCGCAGGAGCAGTGCTACCCGCTAACCGATTCTCCCTGATATCCATTATCTCGCCGCTTCTTCTCCCCCTATTTTTAAACTTCCATTTTCTCCCTGCCCCACTGGTCTCCTTAGCGACACTGAGCGTGTGCCAGCCTGCTGTGACTGGGCCTCTCCACCTCAAATATAACACATAACACTTTGACAAGTGCCACCTGTTCAGGGCGACCCATAACCTGGCAAAGTCCGGCCCTTTTTTCCTACACGGCCTTCTTTAACTGCTTGTTTAATTGTGATAAAATACATTGCCCCCTTGAGCCGACACTTGGTAGCTATAGATTTATATCGATAGCAGGGTGTTTTAGCGTATATAGTAATTATCATTAATTAATTCCTTTACTGCATTAGTATTTGTGTTTGTCTTGTCCTGCTATGGACATGCATATCAAAGCGTGTATTTTATTAGGCATCATTGCCTGATTTGATTATTTCCCTTCCTGCCAGGAGGCTACCTTGCATGCACCTCTTCCACCAGGCGTGTGTGGACCAGTGGCTGGCCACCAGCAGGAAGTGCCCCATATGTCGGGTGGACATTGAGACCCAGCTGACGCCTGACAGCTGATGTTTCACCCCTCCCCCCCCCAGTCCCTGGCCCCTGCCCCCCTGTTTCCACTCCCCCCCCCCCCTCCCCACACGCCGCCGTCCCTCCCTCGTTCCTTGGGCACTTTGCCAAATGTTTTGAGTCTTCACCACTTCTGACCCCACTGTCTGAGCCAACTGCAGACAACTGCAAGGAGGGGAAAAAAAAGGAGAAGAGGACAAAAAAGCACACTCTCTGAAAGCAAAAAAAAGAGGTAGAAAAAAGGAGAAGGTTGTTTGGTCTGCAGATGGAGGTTGGATCTAGCTTCTGATGAAAATTATTTGAGATGTTTGTGTCTATTGGGAGCGAGTTTCCCCTGAGACGGGGGGTGTAGCACTTCCTATCCTATAGCCATTTCACCACGTAACTACTTAGCAAAGCAGAAATCCGCAGCAGTCCTCTGCCTGTTAAGGAATTCTACATACCTCTACATTTCCTTTCCTAAGAACAAAAAAAAAACATACAAGAAAAAGCTGGTTATCCTGTTTGCCTAACGAGTATTTGTAGCTACTGCATTATGACATGTATTCTAGCTTTTTAAAGCTTCTGTTTTTATAGATGTGAGAAATTACATGGAGCCCATGGAATTCAAGCAGCTACTACTTGCAATATTGTATTAGCTTAAGCCTCACGGTGTTTATGCGATATGCACCATACTGACTTGTGAGTACAGATATTTTTACACAAGGACAATGTGACGTGAGTTAAAAAAATAAGGGGCCAAGGCACTGAAGACGGATGGAGCCATATGGCTGATGTTAAGACGGGAAGGAGGTCAGGGATGAAGGCTTTGGAGTAGTTCAATACGCTGTGAAGTGCTTGCGTGAATCAAAAAGCCAAATATATAGTAAAAGAATCAAATAAACGAACATAGGTCTTAACTCCAATCATGCACAATAGTGAGTTCAGTTATCTGTAGATCAACACTACCTGTATGCGTCCATAGCAACAGGAAGCGGTTGCCCTGGCGATACGCACACTCTCTCAGCACTCCTGTGTGGTGGAGCAGTGCCCTCGAAATGCATGTTTGTATGTCAGCTTGGGCTGTTTTGTTAGTGTGAAACGGCGAGAGGTTGTTTGTGCATGACTTAGTTTTTCTGAGAAATGTTTAGTTCATTTAACAAAACAAGCAAAGAAAAAAAACGCTAGCACGATGTAAATGGCTGTCACAGACATGAAGTAGCGTGTTTTCATCTTGTCATTTGAGTGGCCGCTGGTGGATCCCCCTTTTCGTGACGTAATACTTTATTGGCTAAATAACAAGCACATGTGGTAGGTAGATATAGCGACAACCTCCTTGTTCTTTTTTTTGTCCTTTTTGTTGGATTTCAACGTGCTGTACAGAAACATCCAGTGTTTGGAAAGAATGATGAGTTAGTGCGTGACTCGTGTTTCGATGTAACCGATTTTCTCCCCGTGGTTGCTATGCTGTGACGCTAGAACAACAATGTAGAATGTCCTCCTGACGGAAGCAGTATCCTCTTTATATCTCACACTGGCAGTGTGGGCGCAGGTCACTCTAAGGCGTGCGAGGGGGAAGCCAAGAAGCCATTTCTCAGAGAAAAACCAAACTCTGTCTCTTGTCTTACACGTCCCTGTCCTCTCTTGTCCACCCTGTCCATTTGCAGTGTTGTAACTCTGCTCTGCCATTCCATGCAGTTTTATTTTTCTTTTCTCTGCATTTTTTTTTGAATTGCACGTGACGCTCCTCCATCGTCCATCATTAAGCTCATTTGAAGGAATAGCTGTGATTTAAGGTACGATCCCTGTGTTTCCCAGTCCTGGTCCCCAGGGCCCACTGTGTATACTAGCTTGGGGAAACACGAGGGACGCTTTTCTGTGAATGCACTATTGTCTTTAATTGCTTCAGTTTTGTTTCAATTGTATGTGTGATCATATCTGTCCATGTGTCTGCATCCTGAGGCCTCTCTCTGTCTTCACCAATGTAGCGTTCAAAAAAGGGAAAAAGTGCTGTTTTAAATCTACCTGATTTTTTTCTGCAGGTACTCCACATTATTTCTACCTGCTGCATGATGTTGCATTTATACATAACGTATTTATAATCTTTTATCTGCAATCTAGACTTTGTTTTTTGGCCTCTTTTCCAAAACGACAGCATCATGCCGGTATGGAGATTTCCTATTTACCCGGACACTATGTAAAAAAAAAAAAAAAAGCCATATCTCAGATACCAGAAAGCATGCGATGCTTAAGGCAACGAGACCTTTCTCTTAGTGTTTGCACTAAAAAAATAGGGCATTAATATGCTGTTCATCATTTTAAGAGCTCTTCACCAGATATTATGTGGTGAAGGTAGGAGATAAGACAAAAATCCAGGCCTGTGCTCAGGCTACAGTCAACTGCAGGGTTCTCACTGTGCAGTGCTGACTGTTCTGAGGTTATACCGTCCCATCATTTTCAAAGGAATAGTGCAATGCTCAAAACCAGCCAGTCATTCAACAAGAGGCAGCATTTTTACTGCCATGTAAACGATATATAGAGAAAGGATACTGCATCCTCCTTTTGTGGAGTTTTCTATGGGAATTTTTGATAGTTTACACAGGGTGTTGTGAGTTGAAATGCCTTAAGTATTTAACAATCATAATTTATTACTAACTGTAGATATTGTGGGTATGTATTTAATTTTTTTATAGTTCTCTTTTGAAATTTGAATCATAATTTATTTATTTAGAAATAACATAAAGTGATTAAAAAAACTATTACCTCATTTTTGCATTGTTTTATGGGAATGCTTCGCATGCAGTTGTATTTTTCAGAAAAAAAGCATACTTAAAACAACAAATTAACAAAAAAACAAAAAAAAATCATGTTATAATTTATCAGATCAGGTTGTGTGATGAAAAGTGTATTTATGTGGTGCTGTCAATCTTGGTTACATTCCATTAATGCAATTTCTATGATCCCCTATGCTGTGATCTAGTGGACAAACTGCAATAGAGTGGAAATGGTTTTAGTATGTATTATATTCTGTTCTGCACTCGTACAGTAGTTGATAATGGTGACCCTCTCACTGGCATAATGGAATTCTTTAAGAACTTTATTTGTATACCTACATTCACTTCCTACTCTCAGCTCACCATTCACACTTTCAGTTGAAAAGCATTTCTCCTTTCATTCCATTGTTCTTTCTATCTTAGATAAAGAGTCATATTATCAAGCAAAATTAACCCTAAGTGCCTCAAGTATAGTGGCAGAACAGATTTCCTAATAACCGTTCAAGCGACTAAATGTTTCACTTTACATAGACTAACTGGCCTAATTTTTCGAATTTTAAGGTAGCTCGGCTTGGAACCACACTCACGGTCAGATAATATGTAGCGCATTTCAGCATTCAACGTACGTTCCACATTCACTTTCCACGTCAGCCTATTGATTGTGGAAAACATGCAACGATCAGATATTAAACTCCGAATTCATTAGTGAAGGCTCATCAGTTACCTAATATCATGCCCTCATTTGCTCTTAGAGTGTGTCTGTTTGTCTTCGTTATACATAAGTGTGGTTGACAGCTGTCTCACATTCGGCCACTTAAGACCACATCTGGACAGTGATAGGACAATTTTTATTTTAGGGATTGGTTCCCACAGCGTTCCTACCTGACTCCTTTGCCTTATATAGATATTTGGCTTGCTAGAAAAATAGTACATGAAATATTGGAATACATTTTTCATTTTTCTGTGTGTTTTTCCAATGCTTCAGAATAATTCTGCCGATCTTTGGTTGTGGATGAGGCGCAGAGATTTCTGGCATTGAAACAGCCTGGTGTTGAAACAGAAAATGACATGAAATTCCTCTAAGTAGATGTTTTGACCAATAACTGCAATTCAGGTATTGGTAAACATTGCTGTGGAATACATTGTTGCTGTGTACTACAAATATCTTTCTCGTGCCAAGTTGTGTTGCATCCATCCTAATATTTCATACCAACTTTTTAGTGATAAATTAAAACAATTAATGTTAAAATGTTAGACTATTCAAGGATGCTAAGTAGATGCGTGAACAGGAATACAATACAATATTAATTAAGTACAGTACAATATTGTGAATTAAATATTTGAATTAAGCCTGTGAATGCCAGATGAGTCCTCAAACCAAAGAACAGCTGCATTGCTAACGGACAAGCCATCTGCAGAGCGCTAATCCAAAAGTTACTGCTGTGATGGGGACTCTACCCCTGTGAAATCTCTGCTTCCTGCACCACCGCTCAGAACCATATAGCATCTCCTGGCTTTGCGCAAAACGAGACAGAAAAACAACATTTCAGTAATATACATGTTATTGATCTGAAGCGCTCATCCACAGAAAACTGAAAAATTACTGAAGATGCCATTCGTCATTTTTTATTGACAGAAATACTGAGGCAGTATGGTCATTACTCAACATAAATTTAAATATCATGACAATTCCATTAATGCCCATTGTGTATCACTGACATAACCTGTTGCTGTTTATCTTTAACTTCTCTCGTTCTCTATCTGCATTTCCTCACAGTATTTATCACAGCGCAGAAAACCAGGATGAACAGTATATCTCAAAGCACAACCTATTTAAATGCATGTTTTCTCAGGTTTGAATTATATACGCAATGATATATGATTATATACAATGAAGTATTGAAGATATACATTGAATATTACAGATAATTATTTGCTGCTGCTTGTCACTCACATAAAAACTAAAAACATCCGAAAATGTGCCAGTGAAAGCGAGGGTCCCCATGTTATTCCCCTTTGTATGAGAAACTGCTGTTTTGCTGTAACTGCGCAATGTTTTACAATATAGGATATTTTATAGAAAAATAGAAATATTTATCATTAATATTAAAGCAATAGCTCATTAATGATGATGATGATGATGATGATGATGAAAATGATGATGAACTAGACAAGTGTATAATGTGTACAATCTTAGATTCACTTTTGGTGGATTTTGTACCTTATTTATTACTTCTACTAATAATAAGGATTTTAAAATAATTGCATCGCTA